ACCCATCACAGACCGTGACAGACAGGCTTTAGACTCATTACAGACCATGACAGACAGGGCTCTGGACCCATCACAGACCGTGACAGACAGGCTTTGGACCCATCACAGACTGCGACAGACAGGCTCTGGACCCACCACAGACCGTGACAGCGAAACTGTACTTCTAACGCATCAGATAAACGGTTAGCTACAAATGTATTGCAAAGAAATAGAACAAAACGATTTCCATTTAATTAGTAACAACAGATCCATCGTGTTTCACATTTTTAATCCCGCAAGGGATTGCGCTAACAGCTTTTTTTCACAGGATAAAATTTGTTACTATCTCATCATACACATGTCGAATAAGTAAAATACTATTTTTCTAACGATTATGTAGAACAAAATTGAATTGAAACAAAAATTTGTGGGAAAGACTGGTGAAAAATATAACTTTTTAGGGGACATAATAGAAGACCCCCTTGTAACTTATGAGCGATGAGACAGAATAGAAGACCCCGGGTCTTCTAGTGTGTCTGTGGCTTTACGCAACTGTAAAAAATATCGCAGAAAGTTGGACATTTTTTGGAAAGCGAGCCCCCTCCCATCCCTGCCTAATCGAAAACACTGAATTAGATCTGAGATGTTATTCGAATACAAACAATAAACTTGAGTGTATTCAGGGAATTATGGATGAATGGTAGACAACGAATGTTTTCGTGGTCCCGTTTATTGTACCTCATGAACTTGTACGTGTACAACTCACTCGTTTACATGACACATCGATAATAAGTGCACCAAGATTCTATGTTCGAGGCGCTATCAACGATCTCTGTTGTTCAGTTGAAGGAAAATGTAACACTAACTGGTGCGCTTGTGATAACAATAGAGTTTTCTGCCAGATAAAGTGTCATAAAAATATCATTTGTTGTAGAAACATAGAGGAATAAAGAAACTTATTGTTTATTTAATTGATACTTATATTACTTTCTACTATGTTATGCTAGTGACTTAATGTGGATCAGTTGTCGTTTGAGTTACTAATCACTCTATCTTAGATTGGCCTGAAGAGATCAAATATCTTAGTATGGACTAGACGAAACTTAGATTGACCTGAAAAAGCAGGTCAATCTTGGATTGGACTGACAATTTTAGTGAGTTCCGAGATTGGACTAGGCCATTCTCGAATCCAAGATTGGCCTAGAAAAAAGTCAGGCCAAACTCAGATCTTACAA